TTTTTTGCCTCCTTTTTTTTACTTGTAACAAGTTAGAGAAACTTATGCTATTTATTCATTTTTCTCTGTTTGCAGGACAGAACACACATTTATTGCTATCCTTATTAATTAAGCATCTTGACCACAAAACAATTCTCAAACAACCTGACATACAACTTCAAGTTCTAGAGGTTGCAACCTCTCTTGCTCAACTTTCAAAAGTTGAACCTTCTATAGCAATACTTGGTGCAGTTAGTGATGTTATGAGGCATTTGCGAAAGAGCATACACTGCTCTCTCAATGATGCAACTTTGGGACCCGAAATTATACAATGGAACAGGAACTTTAAAGAAGCTGTGGATAATTGCCTTGTACAGTTATCAAAAAAGGTGGGGTCACTCTCTTGTCACTCCTAAGTTCTAGTGTGACTAGATAGTTTGAAATTGAGCTAGCTACTGTGAACAGGTCGGAGATGCAGGTCCAATTCTTGATGCTATGGCTGTGATGTTGGAGAACATCCCGAATATTACAGTTATAGCCAGAACAACAGTCTGTGTTGTTTATCGCACTGCTCAAGTTGTTGCCTCAATTCCAAATCCATCCTATATAAACAAGGTAATAATCATAATTGTTAATGATTTTTTGGTGACTAACATTTCATGTTGTTGTATGCTGTATCTTTAATTATATGGTGTTTCTTTGTTCCCATAGGCATTCCCCGAGTCTTTGTTCCATCAATTACTCCCAGCTATGGTCCACCCTGACCATGAAACACGAATCGAAGCTCACCGTATTTTCTCTGTTGTTCTTGTGCCTACTTCAGTTTGCCCTCGGCAATCCTCTGTTACTTCAGTAGCAAACAAAGCCGAAGTTGTTCAAAGAACACTTTCAAGAACTGTCTCAGTCTTTTCTTCATCAGCTGCCCTTTTTGAGAAGCTAAAGAAGGAGAAATCCTTCTCAAGGCAGGGTTCTTCTATAAAAAATGAAAACATTGCTAGTGAGGGTGAAATTAAAAACAGCAATAATACAGTCCTGAATCGATTGAAGTCATCCTATAGTCGAGCATACAGTTCAAGATATCTCCCTGTATCGTTGGAAACAGATGAAATTTCTCCAAGCAATTCAAATACGGTATCTTGAAACGATTAGCACTAAAATGTGTTTGAAATTGGTTTTCTTAAGCTTATGTTTATTTAACTATTTTTATTTGCCAAATGTCAGGAGTCTGATTCTCTACGGCTTAGTAGCACCCAGATTAGTCTCTTGCTTTCATCGATTTGGGCACAGTCTGTCTCTCCTCAAAATACACCACAAAACTATGAAGCCATTGCTCATACATACAGCCTTGTGATGCTCTTCGCTCGAGACAAGGTAATTGCTCAACCTTTTGCTTCCTGAAAATGGATTTGGGGTCAGAAAGAAGTACAATAATTCTACCTAGAGTATCAGGGTCTCATTTTTGTCCGATAAAGAAACACTTGTAGGACCACATGGTACCTTTTGCTTTGCAAGTAATTTGTGTAGACTATGTGAACTTATCAAGTCTTTTAACTGCCTTTTATATGAAAATTTTAGTTGATTGTCTAAGTGGCTTGTTGGCAACAGAAACAGAAAAAGAAAAACTTCTTTCATTGTATCGGTAACATCTAAATGATATTCGTTCTTTTCTGGAGATCTAATTTCTGTATAGTCATTTTTAATATAATGCAGAACTCTGGCAATGAGTCTCTCGTTCGTAGTTTCCAGCTAGCCTTTTCGTTGCGAAGCATCACTCTTAATGGAGGTGAGTGTCCAGAGTTGTAGCTGTCTTTGCAATCACATGGGTTTGATTGGTGTGTGCTTTCTTTGTGTTACTCTTCGATAACACCCCTGGGAAAATAATAATAATATAATAGTAATAACGATAATAATACTTACAAGAATTTGAGTCTGCCTTGCATGAAACGAAAAAAATACTGTTTATTTAATCTGTAATCATAGTAATAATCAGAAATGTTTAGCTCATACATGATGTCACCAAGGTTTCTCTCCTGCAGAAAGAAAGGGAAGCAATAATTATGATGGATTGGAAATGTAAGAAGCTCTCTTAAGGACATAAATCCAATAGGAAATATAGCAGATGTGTTCTTTCAAATCTTACTTTTAAATGAAGCATTTTATAACCAAGTTCCAGTTTGCCACATACACAGTCACCATACAGTATTAGCATATAATGTTTGGCAAAAAGATGCTAGTGTTGATACTCTAAGAAGAGTGGAAGGGAATTTAGAAAAAGAAAGATTGAGAGATTTCGAACGGAAAGGGGAGAAATTTTGTTCTTATTGCTTTAAAAATAAAAGAACCAGCCTGCTTTTATAGTCTGAGAATTAAACTAGGTATCTTCTTCTTTAACCTTTATCTCCTAAGAAAACCCATCTTATGATAAAACCTAATCCTAAGTAAATTAGAACTCAGAATTTAGGATGAACAAAAACACCTTTTATACTAGTTTAAATCACAACAGCTTTCCAAAGCTAGATTTTTCCTGTAATCGGTAAATGGTCCAAATCTGATTTCATATCAACAAGTTCAAATGTAAAACCATGAAACGTTTGTTGATAATCTGTTCTACAAAAATTATCTTTAAAGTATATCTTGAGAACCTCTTATAAACTCTTTTCATGAATGCTGCACATGATATGGTAAGAAGGATTTGGGAAGATGTCTCGGTTCATTTTAATTAGATTATAACATCGGTCCTTGGAAGAAGTAACGGATAAGGAAATGAAACAACTAACTTGGTATCTGTTATTGGGGTATTATCATTTCCTTATTCTGAACTTCCACTATTGCTGCAGGGCCACTTCCACCATCGCGCCGTAGATCTCTTTTCACCTTGGCAACTTCAATGATCCTGTTTTCATCAAAAGCATTCAGTATTCTTCCTATTGCCTATATTGCCAAGGTTACTCTAACAGAAAGAATGGTATGAAAACTTATCGGTCATGATCTTCATTACTTTCTTTTCCTTGCTTCTTACTTCTGCCTTTTTTTCATCTGTTAATTAAACACCTGTTATTGTTCTATGATTAATAGGATGATCCTTTCTTGCACTTGGTGAAAGAATGCAAGTTAAAGGCAGTGGAAACCAGGCCTGACCAACCAAAAATGTTTATGGATCTGAAGAAGATGACAATTTGGCTTTAAAGATGCTCTCAGAAATTGAGATTACCCCAGAGCAACGCAGGGAAAACCTTGTTTCAGAGATCTTAAAAGGCTTAGGAATTTCATCAGAAGTAAACCTTTTTATCTCGTCAAAGAACTAGTAATTTTTGTTTTAATTACATTACACTGATATCTTGTGAAAATACACGCAGCCTGAATTGTCAAATACACGGGCACAGCTGCTAAGTAAATTCTTGCCGGATGATGTGTGTCCTCTAGGTGCCCACTTGCCTATGGATGCACTACTTAAAGTAGACGGAGCTAGCATACAAGAAAATAATCCTTTTAAGGAGGTAAATTCTCTTGCACTACCCTCGAAATTCATCTGTCAAAGCTTGGAACTCATGTGATTTCTTTTGCTCAGCAGGAAGCTCCATTTTCCTCTATAGATGAAACCAAAGATGATTCAGGGTTGTCCCAGGGAATTCCAAAACCCCTGGATGTCAATCAACTCTTAGATTCAGTACGTCATCTATTTCATTCTTTTTACTCCTAGTCTTTAAAGTACAAGCGATCAAACTCATATTTATTTGCTCTATCGACACAGGTAATGGATACTTCAGATCAATTTGGAAGAGCTTCTGTCTCCACCAGACCTGACATGTCTTACAAGGATATGGCTCAGCATTGCGAGACACTCCTGAATGGGAAGAGGCAGAAGATGTCTGATCTGATGGGCGTCCATCTGAGTCAAGAAAGCTTGACTTGCTGCGGATCTTTTCAAAATCCTTTCGATGACACAAAACAGGTAGGCCCTTGATTCAATGAAATTTATGCATGTTTATATTTATCATGCATGTGTTGAGTGGTGTTATCCCACATCTATTGAACTATTGGGTTTCTGGTGATCTAACAAACATCCAAACCCCAACTTGAAAATGCAGACTGGCCCTGTCCTCGAGCAAACAGATGGTACTAACCCATTCAAACAACCAGTCGGCACAGAGTACCAGAACCATCTCCAGCCTTTCAGTTTACCAACCTCAACCCCATATGATAACTTCCTAAAAGCTGCTGGTTGTTGATCTGGTGATGGATCGGATACCAATATTATATAATAAAAAAGCGCAACATCTGGCGATCTTTCCGGTAGAAGTTTAAAAAAAAATCCATATCCTATTTAGCCAAGATTGAAAAATGCAGTGGAACTGTTGATTTTAAAGCTCAAAGATGTTTCTGCTACAACCAATGCTACCACCTTTTCTTCTAGGTATACAATGTATGCCCAGCATTTGGTTGAATTTGTAACTTTTTCCATAATTTAATCCATTCATCCATATGCATCTCATTAGTTTCATTGTTTTTTCCCCTCCATCTAACATTATATGATTAGATAATGTCGAAAAATTAGAACAAATTCGTACTATAATACTATACATAATTATAATTAAATTTGTATAGAAACTTAAACAACTCGACTCGAACTTCATAAATCAAACTCTACTAAAAAAATTGAAGTTTGAGTTATAAAATACAACTTGTCAACTCAACTAACTCAATTATTTTTTAACTTGACATGATTGAGTGCTCACCCCTAGCAACAGAATCATGATTAAAACAACATTCCTCCTCAATACAATGCATGTTTGATTCATCTCATATATTTTTATACATTAACTCAACTCACAAATCTTCCATTCTAGCGGTCCACCATAACATTTATACCTATATCTGTTTATATTTTCTGCAAATTACAAAATATTATCCTTGGAATTTCAAAGGTGCCACAAATTTGTCCTAATTAAAGTTTGAAAGACTGATATTTTAAATTTTTTGAAGCTATAATCTCTATATATTGCCTTTTCCCAGTTGTAGTTTTGCACAACCAAAACATTAAAACAAATCTGAATTAGAAAATGAAGAAGCAAGCTGGTTCAAGTGTCGTCTTAATTCTCCTTTGCTTTGTTTATATATTCGCAAGCGTTGAAGCTCAAACTTGCAGGCCTAGTGGGACAATAAGAGGGAAAAATCCTCCGCCTGGGCAATGCAACACTGAAAACGATTCTGATTGTTGTAAAGTTGGGAAGCTCTACACAACATATAAATGTTCACCGCCCGTTTCGAGCCGTACAAAAGCAACGTTAACGCTTAACAGTTTTCAGGCGGGTGGGGATGGTGGCGGCCCGTCGGAATGCGACAATCAATATCATTCAGATGATGACCCTGTGGTGGCACTTTCAACTGGGTGGTTTAGTGACAAAAGGAGGTGCTTGAAGTATATTAACATTTATGGTAATGGAAGAAGTGTTAGGGCTAAGGTGGTTGACGAATGCGATTCAACGATGGGATGCGATTCGGACCATGATTATCAGCCTCCTTGCCCTAACAACATCGTTGATGCCTCCAAAGCAGTTTGGAAGGCTCTCGGAGTTCCTGAAAGTAATTGGGGCGGCATGGATATCTACTGGTCAGACACCGATTAATCTCTCCAGTCATAATTTTTATCTGTATTAAAAACGTTGTGTGTTTTAAATTAAAGTTAAATTAATATTAATGTAAAAGTCTTAAAGCATTAAAAGTATGCCTTGTATCTTAATCCTTAGTTGCTACGAGGAACGCCGAAAATTGTCTAAAACATATATCGACAGGTAAGCTGAGCAAACAAAACAAATGGACAGAAAGATGTCATGGAATGAAAATACTCCTATCAAAGTTCACTACGACATTGTTTATCCACATAATCTCCTTATGCATAAAAGACATCAAAATCTCCTCGATTATGTCATACTATAATCCTAGAAAGAATATCTAAGAGGCAATGTTTATCCACCTGCTTACCAAAATTATTAAAACATCCAAAGCTTATAATAGAATCGTGGTAGCGTCATTGTTGGTCATTGTGCTAGGCCATGTTAGACATTTCTTTCACTTTTAACAACAGAGTGACTCGTTTATAAAAATATTATCAATAATGCATTTGCTTTATATATAACACTTTAGACCCGATCCTTATATAATGTGTCTAAAATGTCATATTGGGTCATTAAAGCAACACCAAAATCAAATTCTTTTTCTTTCCCAAATGTAAACTCATACCACAGCATAAATACCAAGATAATTAAAATAGTTTATACAAATAGGAACTCCATGACAATTTGATACAAAACAAAATTATGTATGTAAAAAACGTTTATAGACCAAATCCCATAAATAAGGGTCATATGGATATATATATATATATATATATATCCACTAAAGTAGTTTGTATTGTACTCTAAACACGAAGACGTTGGATATTTTACAGTGAAGATATTCCTCCAATAATCCGAACTACTTACCTATAAATAATAAAGACATCTGAATGTTGAGCTAACAAAGCTAAATGATACACATCTACTCCACTATACTATTGGCAATTCATTAACATATGCATGCTCGATAGTATAAGCAGAGAGGCAGAGATCTAAACGTGCAATTCATTATCAACAATTATCCACATAATAGAGCTCTCGTTCTCATACTAGTTTCACCTGGCCTCAGTTACAAATCAATATATACAATGATCACAATATCACACAATGAACACATATGACCAATAACATTGGCACCCGATATCACATAGTAGTCATGTAGCCAAAATAAGGAATCTAGATATTACTTAATATCGATAATGATTCTCGTCACATGAGTAACATGTGGTTGTCCGATCTCACATAGCATCAAACAAGGTGGAGGAGAATCTGATCTCAATTAGCCTTTGTAACAAATCCCACAAGAAGCCTCAAGAAGAGGTTATTCGGCTTCACATAACATCGAACTAAGCATGCATAGATAATTCCTCACACAATAAAGCTCACAAAACACACATTCCATATCAGCTATATTTTTTTAATCTTTTACGTTTACAGTTTTGATCAATTTAACTGTTAATATTTAAAAATAAATAAATAAATAGTTGTACAATATAATTTTTTTAATCTTTTACGTTTACAGTTTTGATAAATTTAACTGTTAATATTTTAAAAAAATAGTAATTGTACAATATAATTTTTTTTAATCTTTTACGTTTACAATTTTGATCAATTTAACTGTTTATATTTAAAAATAAAAAAAATAATTGTACAATATAAAATTTTAATATTTACTTTTACAATCTTTTAAGGGTCAGATCGTTAAAATAGAAGAAAAAAAACCTTAAAAATTGTATATATAAATTATTAACAATATAGGAAGGGAGATCAACTAACCCCAAATACTATATTTTATACATTAACTCAACTCACAAATCCTCCATTCTAGCGGTCCACCATAACATTTTATACCTATATCTGTCTATATATTTTCTGCAAATTACAAAATATTATCCTTGGAAGTTCAAAGGTGCCACAAATTTGTCCTAATTAAAGTTTGGAAGACTGATATTTTGAATTACTTGAAGCTATAATCTCTATATATTGCCTTTCCTCAGTTGTAGCTTTGCACAACCAAATCGTTAAAACAAAGCTATAATTATAAAATGAAGAAGCAAGCTGGTTCAAGTGTCTTCTTACTTCTCCTTTGCTTTGTTTATATATTCGCAAGTGTTGAAGCTCAAACTTGCAGGCCTAGTGGGACAATAAGAGGGAAAAATCCTCCGCCTGGACAATGCAACACTGAAAACGATTCTGATTGTTGTAAAGTTGGGAAGCTCTACACAACATACAAATGTTCACCGCCAGTGTCGAGCCGTACAAAAGCAACGTTGACGCTTAACAGTTTTCAGGCGGGTGGGGATGGTGGCGGCCCATCAGAATGCGACAACCAATACCACTCAGATGATGACCCTGTGGTGGCACTTTCGACGGGGTGGTTTAACGACAAAAAGAGATGTTTGAAGTATGTTAACATTTATGGTAACGGAAAAAGTGTGAGGGCTAAGGTGGTTGACGAATGTGATTCAACGATGGGATGCGATTCGGACCATGATTATCAGCCTCCTTGCCCTAACAACATCGTTGATGCCTCCAAAGCAGTTTGGAAGGCTCTCGGAGTTCCTGAAAGTAATTGGGGCGGCATGGATATCTACTGGTCAGACACCGATTAATCTCTCCAGTCATAATTTTTATCTGTATTAAAAACGTTGTGTGTTTTAAATTAAAGTTAAATTAATATTAATGTAAAAGTCTTAAAGCATTAAAAGTATGCCTTGTATCTTAATCCTTAGTTGCTACGAGGAACGCCGAAAATTGTCTAAAACATATATCGACAGGTAAGCTGAGCAAACAAAACAAATGGACAGAAAGATGTCATGGAATGAAAATACTCCTATCAAAGTTCACTACGACATTGTTTATCCACATAATCTCCTTGTGCATAAAAGACATCAAAATCTCCTCGATTATGTCATACTATAATCCTAGAAAGAATATCTAAGAGGCAATGTTTATCCACCTGCTTACCAAAATTATTAAAACATCCAAAGCCCCTTTTTGTGGGCCCTGGGCGGGCGTCCCTTTTGGCCTAGGGCCGGCTCTGTGCCTGGGTTGAAGATTGCATGGGAAAATAGATTTGAACGTGTTATTGTCCAAACTGGTTGCCTTCATGCAACCAAGATTGTCGAGGGTACGGATGGAGTCGATAGCACTTCGGCTTTGATGCATGCGATCTATAACTTGAGACATAAAGTATGGGCTACTGATATTCAATGGATTCCGTGAGAATGTAACAAGGTGACGGATGCACCAACAGAACTTGTGAATCATGATTCCGTGAACGTCATTCTTTTTGCCTCTGCTCTACCAGACTTTTTTGCTTTGATAGATTGAGCTGCAAATGGCCCGTCATACTTAAGAGCTTGATTCAATTCAAAAATATATATATTAAAATATACTATGCAAATAAAACTATTATCTATCGTGGTATAAAAATGCACCTGATAATTAATAACGCTAATAATGCATGAAATTAACTAATAATAAAGTATATATTTACAATTTCAAAAGTTAATATAAATTTCTATTTAAAAATATATTCAAATATTTTAAAATTTGAGAAGAATAGTTTTTCGTTCGGATGACTTATAAAATTACATTTCAACAATTTAGAAGACTATTCCACATATTATTTTCACGAAGAAATATTATCCTTTTAAATGTTTACATATACATATATAAAATATAATAAAATCCATATAATATTAAGAAACTATATTTATATTTAAAATATGAAATTACAATTGTAGACACACACTTAAAAATATTTATATATAATAAAGTAACAAAAACATAATGTATATCACCTTTTATTAAATTTGTTAACAAGATAAAAGAAAGTGGAAAAAGAAATTTATTTAGAGTTTGACTTATTGAATGGTTGAATAGCAACGATGCTTTGAAATCTATCTTGTATTTGATCTGATTTGGACAAATTTCCATATGATTAACTTATCAACTGGACAAGGTGAACGCCGTAGGAATTTCCATTTGCTTGCCTCAAGTTGACGGTGAGCATTAAAATACCGAGGCAGGATAGAATAAAGGACGCTACGTTCCCTGCTGCGAAATTTCATATTAATTGTCAAACGACAACCGCCATTTTTGAGCTATAACTGTGGAGCTTCACCACCGTAGTTTCTACACAGTAATAACTCGATCGTGTAATAAAGAAACCCTAAAGAATAGCTAAAAATATCAGTTTCATTCATCTGTTTGATTGTTTTGGCGCTACCAACTGGTTCAAATGGTGGTGGAATTTCCATCTACTGGGGCCAAAACGGCAACGAAGGCACCCTAGCGGAGACTTGTGCAACGGGGAGGTATGAATACGTCAACATAGCCTTCTTGGCAACATTCGGCAATGGCCAAACTCCCATGATAAACCTCGCCGGCCATTGTGATCCCTATAGCAATGGTTGCACCGGATTAAGCTCCGACATTAAATCGTGTCAAGCCAAAGGTGTTTAAGTCATTCTTTCGTTGGGCGGAGGTGCCGGTAGCTATTCCCTTGCTTCCTCCGATGATGCTAGGCAAGTTGCGATATATCTTTGGAACAATTTCTTGGGGGAACATCTTCGTCTCGACCGCTAGGACCCGCTGTTCTCGATGGGATCGATTTCGATATCGAAGGACGGGATGCCCGTTCCTTTCGGGATATAACAAGAAAGGGAAGAAAGTGTACTTAACGGCTGCTCCTCAATGCCCGTCTGATGATTGGGTCGGATATGTTGAAAATCCACCGAAAGGTGGAATTAATCCACCGAAAAAAATGTCAAAATGGTTGGCTAATTGTTGAAAATTAGCAATGGTATAATTGTATATTTTAGTCATTGTAATTTAGGGTATTTACAAATTAGTCCTTAAGCTTCAACTATAAATACCCTAGCTCATTTAGCTTCAAAAACATCCCAAAACATTATAGATTTCTTCCAATACTAGAGAATTTAGAGAGTTTCTTGAGAGTTGTTTTCTCCTTTTTATCAAGAGAAAATTATCATTGTTTTCTCCTTTGTAGATCGAGAGAAGTTATAATTCTTATTTTCTCATAGTGAAATTCTTCTACTGTTGCTTGGTTTTTACTGTATATTATTTAGGGGTTTTTCCACGTAAATTTTGTGTCTCTTTATCTTCATTTTATTTTCTCAAATTATCAGTTGCGTTTTTACTCTATCCGATAGTCGTCTTCCGCAACAATTGGTATCATAGCCAGATTGAGTGTGTAATATCTGCTTATGGTTGAGGTGTCTTTATGGTTGCCTATCCGTAATAGAAACTATGGCAACGAAATTTGATATTGAAAAGTTTAATGGGAGAAATTTCTCATTGTGGAAATTGAAGATGAATGACATCCTGAGGAAATATGGTTGTCTAGAAGCTATCAGTGAAAGGCCGGTAGATTTCACATATGACAACAAATGGATCGAAATAGACAGGAATACTATGGCAAACTTTCATCTAGCATTAGCAGATGAAGTATTGTCAAGCATCAAGGGAGAAGAAGACAGCTAAGGAGATATGAGATCATCTCACCAAATTGTATGAGGCCACATCGTTGCACAATAAAATTTTTCTTAAGAGGAAATTGTACACTATCCGGATGCCAGAATCTACTTCAGTGTCGGAGCACTTGAACACGCTGAACACTTTATTTTTTCAGCTTACATCCTTAAGTTATACAATAGGAGAACAAGAACGTGACAAACTTCTATTTCAAAGTCTACCTGATTTGTATGATCAACTCATCATCAACTTGACAAACAGTAATGTCACCAGTCTAGTCTTCGATGACGTTGTGGTTGCTATTCTACAAGAAGAAAATCGGCGTAAGAACAAGGAAGACAGACAAGTAAATCTACAACAAGCAGAAGCATTGACAACGATGAGAGGGAGATCAACGGAACGTGGCCAAAGCAGCAGTCACAAACATGGTAGATCAAAGTCGAGAAACAAAAAGAATTTAAAGTGCTACAACTGTGGAAAAGGGTCACTTGAAGAAGGATTGTTGGAGTCTAAATAAAACTCCAATCCAGGCAATACCGCAAATACTTCGATGATGGAGATGATCTATGCTGTGAAGCGTCAACCACCGTGGAAGGTAGAAGAAATATGCATATATATGCTCATTGATTCAGGAGATATATCACATGACCTCAAGAAGAGAATGGTTTCATCATTATGAACCTGTTCAGGAGGATTGTGGGAACCATAAAATTGAAGATGTATGATGGAACAATTAAAGTTGTTCGAGATGTGCGGCACGTGAAAGACCTTAAGAAAAAATTATTATCCTACGGATTGTTGGATAATAATGCAAGCAATATTGAAACACGGAAAGGAATCATGAATGTGTTCCGTGGAGCGCTTGTGGTGTTAAAAGACGAAAAGATAGCTACAAACTTGTACATGCTTAAGGGAGAGACTTTGCTAGAAGCAGAAGCCTCTGTGGCCTCATGTAGTTCCGATTCTGCAATACTATGGCATCAGAAACTTGGACACATGTCAGAACAAGGAATGAAAGTCCTTGTGGAGCAAAAACTACTTTCAGGCTTAACGAAGGTATCACTTACTTTGTATGAGCATTGCATAACAAGTAAGCAGCACAGGTTGAAATTCAATACATCAAATTCTAGAGGCAAAAGTGTTTTATAATTGGTTCACTTTGACGTATGGCAAGCACCAATTACATCCCTATACGAAGTAAAATACTTTGTCTCATTTATTGATGATTACTCCAGGACACGTTGGGTGTACCCTATTACGAAGAAGTCAGATGTGTTTTCAACTTTCAAAAACTTCAAAGCGCGGGTGGAACTTGATTCTGGAAATAAGATCAAGTATTTCAGAACAGATAATGGAGGAGAATACACAAGTGAAGAATTTGATGACTTTTGTAGGAAATAAGACATCAAAAGACAGTTCACAGTGCGAACACTCCTCAACAAAATGGAGTGGCAGAGAGGATGAACAGAACTTTGTTACAAAGAACAAGAGCAATATTGAGGGATGCAGGCCTAGAAAAATCATTCTGGGCAGAAGCAGTCAATATTGTCTGTTATTTGGTGAATCGAGCTCCATCAACTGCAATAGAGCTGAAGACACCAATGGAGATGTGGACTGGTAAACCAGCTGATTATTCAAACCTCAATGTATTTAGAAGTATTGTATACTTGATGTACAACTCCCAAGAAATTTCAAAGCTAGATCCAAAATCCAGGAAATGCAAATTCTTGGGGTATGCTGATGGTGTAAAGGGGTATCGCTTGTGGGATCCCACTGCCCGCAAAGTGATCATTAGCAGGGATGTTATCTTTATAGAAGATAAACTACAAAGAAAAGAAGAAGATGGTAGCGCTGAAAAGTCAGAGACTACACAAATACATTTGGAAAAGGAGTTTGAACAAGGAGATTCTTCTGAAGCAGAACCAGTACATGATGAACAAGAACCAGAGAGTTCTGAAGCTCCAACAACTCGTCAATTAGATCGTGTGAGAAGACGTCCCAATTGACACTCAGATTATGTTATAGAAAGTAATATTACATACTGCCTTTTAACAGAGGATGGTGAGCCATCAACATACCAGGAGGCAATAAACAGCTCAGATGTCTCACT